TACTTAATAATTGATATATACCCATTATGTCTCAGGCACTATGATAAGTTCAGGGTATAGTAGTGGACAAGGCTGGTGTGGTCCAGGCTCCTAAGGAGATTACAGTCTTGAAGGTCACAGACTTCCTCTGTAACTCTGAGAGTTACCTTTGATACTTAACTAGATGTCGAAGGAGAGTTTGACAAACAGATCAACACTGGTCTGAGGTGTCAGAAAAGGTGAAATAACAAAAATGACTTTTACTCTGCAACCTGAAAGGGGCACAGGTGAGCCAGGGAAAGAGGTGAGTTATATGGAGGTTTGGTGGTCTGGGAGCATGAAATACTAGTATGACTGGGGCAAAAATAAATAAATAAAATCAAGTTAATGGGAGACTTAGGAGACTCAGCAATGGCAGTGACCCCAGGGCAGGGGAAGAGAGAAGGACAGAAAGGAGGCAAAGATGATATGAACAGATAAAAGTTCATGCCACTTTCTGAGGGAGACACAGAAGGTGACTTGGGTGGGAAAGATATCTGATTATTTTAGAGACACTGAGTTTGAGCCTCCTGGAGAATAGCCAAGAGGTGAAAAAATGGAAGTTGGGTTACAGAAGTGTAGGCTGGGCTATAAACCTAGAATCTTAGCACAGAATGGTAACTGGTGCCAGGGGACAGATGAGCTTGGCCAGGGAGAGGGTGGGTGAGGAAAGATGCCTCGAGGAGCCCAGCACTGAACCTCTGCTGGAGCATGCTGTTTCGAAGTCCAGGAAAGAGAGGGCTCTCCTGAAGCTGAGCTGGTGGAATGAGGCCTAGATACAGAACTTTAATAAGCTCCTTTGTGGTTCTGCCACAGGTAGGCAGAAGCCTGCCTTGGAGAAACTCATTCAGATAGAGCTTGGATAATGCAGACCCTCAGCTAAAGTTGACTGAACAAACGTGTTTTGTAATTACATATATTGTCCAATTGTCTGTATCAGTGCATACAGATCTTCATCCATTCATTCAGGTTAGTCATAGCAGTTATCCAGGAAATGGATAAACCATTGTTAAGGGACATTCAAGTTACTGCCTTTTTTTCTTTGTAAACACTGTAACAATTAACACCTGCCTATTCTTCTGCTGGGTTTTTTTTCTTATTTGTGAAAGAGTTCTGCATAGCAGTTATTAAGTTCCTTGTGATATGTATAAGAAGGATCACAACTGGGCTCAGTGGCTCATATTTATCATCTCAGCACTTTGGGAAGCCAAGGAGAGAGGGTCACTTGAGGCCAGGAGATTGAGACGAGCCTGGGCAATATACTGAGACTCTGTCTTTACAAAAGGAAGATAAAAAACATTAGCCAGACACAGTAGTGCACACCTATAATCCCAGCTACACAGGAGGCTGAGGTGGGAGAATCCTTTGAGCCCAGAAATTCAAGATTACAGTGAGCTATTATTGTGCCACTGCACTCTGACCTGGGCCACTGTCTCTTTTTAATTTTTTAAAAAAAAAGGATCTTTCTTAGTTTTTTCACCTTTTGAGTTTGTGGTGATTTTAGCCTTATGTTATTTTTCTTCTAATTTAGCTACATAGCCAAATGTATCAATCTTTTCCTTTGTAACTTCTTAGGTTTGTGGTATATTTAAAAAGTGTAAGAAGTGGTACATTGGCCACCTAAGGTCACCTGAGTCTTGACAGGACCAAGGCTGTATATTCTGTCGAACTCCCTTGGAGCAATGGCACCTCTGTCACTCGGACAGATGGGTCACCTCTATGCAGGTGAGTGGCAGGAAACAGCAGGCTCATGTGGCTATACAGGGCAAGCCTGCGACCCTGTTTGCAGCCAGCACCTGTATTGTCACTGACTGTAGAAATATTTTAATGAGGCATCCATACATATTTGACAGGATTCAAAAATGGAGATAAAGAACACAGAAAATTAATAAAACTACTCAGTGGCATCACTGATACTCCCCAGAGATGAGCACTTGCCCTTGTAACTAAAAACACCTGGCTATTTCAGGACTTGAGGGCAACAGGCAGGTGGCATCACAATCCTAATGAAGTGTAACTCCAATAGCTCAACTTCCAGGAATTTACGCTAAATCATAATTGAACAAGCGGAAGATGTTAGGTCAAAGACACTAACTTCATATTAGTGAAAACCTGTGACTCACACGGGTACCCAATGGGAGCTGATGAACTAAGCCCAGGAGAGCCACAGATACTTGTGACATGGTGGGCACAGGCCCGGCTCTCCCACTCAGCTGGGTGACCCGAGCAGGTGCCTCAAGTCCCTCATCTGTTGGCCTCACTGGTTTACCATGGGAATTGAGGCAATGCATAGAAAGTGCTTAAACTGTCTAGCATGTAAATAACATAACTGCTGTTAACATATTAATGGAACACTAAATATTAAAATTATGTGGGAGGAACTGAGGCATCCTGTAGAATAACACAGGTCACCAACTCATGGGTATAGTAATAATCCCGTATCTAGTTACTCAATGTGTGTGTGTGTGTGTGTGTGTGTGTGCACAAAGAAAAACGTCTAGTTGGGTGAAAATCACAGTATCAACACTTTGGGCAGAAATATGGAGATTTTTGTAGCTATATTTTTCAGTTTTCTGTAATGAACCCTTCTGATTATATACCCAAAAAGATAAAGAATGCTCTAGTTCTGTGTAAAGGTGGGGCTTATTTTTTGCTTTTCCGTTCTGACTCACAGGCAGCACAGATTATCGAGAGCAGTGATACAGGCTCAGGCCGTTTGAATCTGTACCGGCCTCATGGTTCAGCGGTATTCTTGGGCATAACAATAATCAGTGGGCCCGGGGCTGTTTGCCTGATCTGTGTCTGGAGGAAGAAAGGGATGGAGAAGAATAAATCAGAAGCAAAGCAGGGATTGGCAACGAACTGCGTAGCAGTGGGCAGGGGTGCTGTGAAGAAGCTGATCGAAATGGTTGATGTCGCCCCAGGATGGCTCTCATCATCATTCTTTTAACTAAACCCATGTCTTCGAAAGGAAGGGATGAAGGGCCAATGGAAGAAAGAATGAGGCCAGGTGTGTGTGCCTGAACCCAAGCTCCTCTGGGTGGAGAGGCCTGGAAGGTAGTGGCAGTGACAGTCACAGCATCCCCTGCCAAGTGTCAGATGCAGCCTGGAACCCTCTAGTGCTCTCACGCTGACATCAATTCCGAGCTACACAGATTCCTCAGCAACTCAGGGGATTTCAAAGTGATGGGCACTTACGACTAACAGGAATGGCAGGTGGGGTGGAAAAAGGAGACCTTCCTGTGAACTCAGGGGCATGTGGCCTATCACAGCATTGAGAGGCTTTAACACCTATTCATTGCCTGGGGACCCACTGTGGTGGTGTCATCACTGATGAGAGTCTGGTGATGAGATACACCAGGCAGTGCATCCATATACCCAAACTTTTACTCAAAAAGACTGGTGAATATTACAGAATAATGTGTGACAGCTACGCCTGCCCCTACTGGGCCTAGGTCTGCAGACTCCCATGCTGTGGGGCTATTTCCACCAGCTGCCAGATATGCATCTGAGTTACCCACTCCCTCTTCCCAAGGCTCAGACATCAGGATTCAAACAGCCCTGAAGCCAGCTGAATAGCTCAGTCCCAGGACACGTAGAAGAGCCCCCACTGCCGGCACAGCCTCCATGTTTCAGAACCCAGGAAGAGGGGACTGTGGACACCCTGGACCCACCAGGAGCCAGCAAAGAGGGAGGTGAAGCTGCAGGGCTTTGGGCACGCTATTTAAGCCCTGGTGCCCCAACTTCAACATGAGTAATACAAAGAAAGCTGGACCCTGCAGGGCTGGGGAGGGCCAGCTGAGTGGATGCAGGTGAGGTGTGTGGCAAGAGCCAGCGAGCCACGTGCCCACAGGGCCCTGGTGCAGCAGCCAAAGTCAGCATCTTTATGCCGGAAAAACAAGGCGGACAGGGACTGCAGGCACCGGACCTGCCGGACAGGGGCCTACTCATCTCTAACAGAAACTCTTCCCCTAGGTAGGAGTCCTTTTCTAGTGCTTTTGGAGAGAACAGAACTGCTAATGAGGGACCAACTTCCTAAGGGGCCCGGTCCCTGACTGAGGAAATACAACCCTCCTGCGGAGCATTCTGGACTGAGTTGTGTCCCCACAAAACCCGTGTCAAAGCCCTAACCGCAGGACCTGAGAATGTGACTGTATTTGGCTGTATTTGGAGATGATCTTCAAAGAAGTAAGTTAAAAATGGGTCCTTCGGGTGAGTCCTAATACCACCTAACCAGTGTGCTTAGATTCCGAAGAGATTAAGACACACAGAAGAGACACCAGGGCTGTGACACACACAGAGGAGCAGCCATGTGAGGACATGGCGAGCAGGTGGCCATCTGCAGGCCAGGGAGGCCTTGGGGGAAACCCACTCTGCTGGTACCATGGTCTTGGACTCCAGCCTCTAGAACTGTGGGAAAATAAATATTTGTTGTTTAAACTACCCAGAATGTAGTGTTTTCTTCTGACAGCCCTGGCTAGGATCTAGGCTGGTTCAGGATCAATGATAGGAGGCAAATCAATGCAGATCCCCAGCCCCATCCTAAAGCCTGCAGCTTAATAGGTCTGAACTGGGGCCCTACCTTGCTAACCAGCCTGCCCAGGCCATTCCAACACAGGGGTCTACAGGTGGAGCCCAGCACAGGCCACACTAGGGCCTCAACTCCTACAGATCACAGAAACAGCGCCACCTGCAGTTCATGAGAAATGCAGTTCTCACCACCACCAACCAGGTGCAGTTTCACTGAATCCCCTCGTGGTGTATAAGCACACACTGCAGGGCGTCCTTCAAGAAAACTGGTGTTCACAGCCCCTAGGAAAGGGGTTGTAGAAAAATTGGAATTCTGCATTTTGCTTTAGCTTTTCCTGCCTAAATGCCTGGAGAACAAATTTTCTTATGAATATTACCAACTCTCTGGGAAAGCAATAATTGACTGTTTACAAGACACACTGTACTATATTATAAAAATATTACAAAAATAATTACATGGAATAAGCCACTTCATTTATTGTATGCATGTCTAATTGAAATCCATGAAAACAGTTACATTTAAAACAATTTATGCACTCTACTTGAAAATGTAAAATATAATACCAATTTAAATATTTTCCACATTAAACCGATTTTTCTATTAAAAAAACTTTTCCTAGTCTTTTAGCTTTCTGACACAAAATAGAACAGAAAGAGTACAGTAAAAGAAAAATATTAGGTAGAATGTTGTAAAACTTTTAATGTACCCATCATATTTAATATTTCCAAGCCTGTTTTCCTGTGCCCCATTTGCCTGCAGAGAGAATGATCCCCATGGTGATACGGAGTCACCACTCTGAGAGCCAGACGACGCCAGATGGACAGAGAAGCTGCTGGAATGGCCGGGACACAGCTCCGCTTCTCCTCTAGCCCCGCTGTCCCATGAGGCCGAACAATGAGGACAGAAGGGCTGAGGGGTGTAACAGGGCCCAGTCCCACGTCAGCAGGAAGGTGGCATCGTCAGCAGGAAGGTGGCATCGGCGCTCCAGTCCCAGCCTTAGGCAGCATCACCGTCAACAGGGATCTTCACAGAGGGCGGGTGAGCTGGTTAAGAAGGCGGGTGATCCTCCCCTCGGATGCTTCGATACTTAGCCATGTCTTCCGGAAATACTTTAGAAAGTTCTTGAATCAACAGGCTTTTAAATTTCTACAAAGAAAACACATTTTCAAAGGAGCGCTCTACATCAACACTCCAATAGCTATTTAAAATATGCCTTCTGGAAGTTTAAACACAGGGCCCGCTAAGCAAAACAGGGCAACAGGACTGACCTGAGACTTCCACTGACCTCAGAGGAAATGACACCAATGGCAACATATGCAAGAGGAAGCGGAACTGCACGGCCCCAGGCGTCACCGCCAGCAGCACGATTCTGCACTGCCCGATGGCATCGGTGTGACAGGAGCCTGTTGCAACTGTAAGCCACGTCCCTGGGGGCCCAGTGGCTGTGTTCACATGGAGAGAGACGCTTCTACTGGCCATTATAATTCTCACTCAGCTTCACCAAGCGGACTGGATAAAAACCATCACCCTTCGCTTCTGATAAAGAGTACACTAGGCGCTGAAGGTGATGCTGGATGCAACAACTCTTCAATCCCAAATGGACAAACAGAGATGAGGTGTGGGCACCATACCTGCAACTCTAACAAAATACCACTTCCAAGGTGTGCTGCTTACTACCTGGAGGGGATCGCCTGCATGGGATTCTGGGAGCCCTGTGGCCTGCCTGTGACTAGGCAAGTCTCCTTCTGACAGCTCCTCCCCTTGCTCCTCCCACTCGGCCAGAGCACCAAAAGGCCACTGTTTGACCATGCCTGCCTGTGCACATCGGCCACGACTGAGCACAAGTGTCCCAGTCTGGCACCAGGCGTCAGTGGGAACAGGACATTCCTGTCCCCTGTGATCCTGGAGCTCAAGGAGCCGGCAGAGGAGACAGAGCAAACAGAAAAAGTAAAAGGTAAAGCTTGACCAGGATTCTCAAGGGAAGCAGCTGCAGAAGGGGCTGGTCCCAAAGGCTTCTGCGAGGAGGCAAAATCATCTGAGACTGGAAGGACAGAACACGGAAGAGCTCCAGGCAGAGAAGACAGCAGGAGAAAAGAACACAAATGCAAGAGCTGGATATATTCCAGAACTGAAAACCAGGCCAGTGTAGATGGCCTGGAGGAGGAAGGGGCAAGTGGTGTGAGTGGGAGGAGAGGCAGGCTGGGCTCCCTGCTGTACATGGCAGTCAGTCAGTCACACGGCGCCAACAGAAACGAGCGGCGTGAAGTCCAAACAAAGAAACCAAACACCAATTTGAACCACATTTGAGTCCATTTAAGAAAAAATTATTTCATGTTCAAGTGCAGAGAATTCTCTACATTTCATCAAGGCAAAGAAAAACCAAGCAGATGATCTGGAGAATTTCATGACAGTGGATATGGTAAAAAGAAGTTTGGCGGTCAGAAGCTGAATGAAGAGAAAAATCAATGTTCGAGAAATTACTACAGAAATAGAAAGTATCAATGCAATAAAAGTGCGTCTTAAAAAAATGAAAACAATCACAGCCAGTGAGAACTGCCAATCACAAAAATTACCCTGGATTTTCTTAAGAATAAGATTAGTGTATGTTTTAATGCTATACACAGACCACTCATATCTAATTTTACTTACTGCCTATTACAGAATTCAGAAATCCCAATGTGTAAAATTATGAAATAGTCAATATTCTAGCAAGTATGGAAAAAAAAAAGGACAGTCTCTTAACCAAACTTCACTGAGAATGCATCTCTTCCCAGTGTATTTCTGACACTCCTTAGAGTCTTACCTTCATGGTGTCAATCTTGCCTTTAACTTGCTCATTTTTAGCTAGAGCCCTCTCCAGGCACTCTTTGGTATAGAGTTGGGGGTTTCGACCTTGATCTATATATCTGAAAACATGAAACATTTCAATTAGCATTCCCATATTCCCATGACTGACACCTATTCTCTCAGCTTTCTGAAAGATATGGGGGGAAAATGGTCAGGTGTATATATAACTGCACATGGCCTTGTTTAGACAAAAGTGAGTCTAGGAACCAGGGGAATTAAGATTCCTTCCTTTACATTAAGTATGGATAATCTGATCTCATTACTTCTGATAAAATGAACAGCTCAAAAATCAAGTAATGATCACTTACAAACCGAAGCACCCTCACAAGCCGTATCACTTTACATTTGTTTAGCATTTGCACTTTTCAAAATTCGTTCATGCTATTATTACCTTTTTGATTCTTATAACAGCCTGTATGGTAGGGGAACTCTTGACAAAAGAAGAAACTAAATGAGCTCCAGGGGGTTCAGGCCTGGGTGACACAGGGGGGCCCTGCTACGATGCGCCTCTACTCCAGGTCGGCCCCGCTGCTTGGCAAACGCTCTGTGGAGGAGCTTCAGGGGAAAGGAAATGAGAGCTACAAGCAGAAGAGTCCCAGCAGCGACGGTCCCAGGATCATTTTACAAACCATCCCACTACTTTAAACAGAAGAGGGGGCTTCTTTTTAAAGCAGTGCGATGGTTTGTAAAATGATACCAATTCACTAAATACACTACTTCATTAAATACACCTAAGTAGTTTAAATATAACGGAGACATTCTGGCCAATTATTTCTAAACAGTATAAAGCTGTTACTTAGAATTTCTGACACTTCCCCCAGAAATTATCTTCATTACCCTAAAGACCTAATTAAGCCTACTGCCTAGATCAGTATCAAGTTTTACTGAGAGCAGGCCACCTGCCTATTTCTGTACACTAAAGAAATCTTATCATTCAACTAAATTGAATCATTCATTATTTAAAACAAAAACAACAACTAAAAACTAACTCCACTTTAGCTTTTTTTATAATTGAGGCCAAAAATACATAATCGCTTCAGAATAAACATATCATTAGGTCACTACTAATGGTATAAAAAACAGTAGGCTTGACAGATAGCAAAAGATAAAAACATCGCGAGTTCTAGAAATTCTATTTCATTTCAATGTTTTTGAAATAACATAATGTAGCAAATTACGGTTAATTCTAAACAAAATCTATCCATTTCTCAAGAAAACCTGCCAGGCTCACAGAGTAAGGCTGACCATGTCACCTGACAGCCGTTTCTTCAACAGCATGGACATCTGCTCAGACTTGGTTCCTAAGTCCCAAGGGTGGCACCCACTCCTGCCCATATACAAAGTCCTGGAGACAAGGGCCAAGCTCTTTTCATCTTAGTTAAAGACACAGTTAGTGTGTATGAAAACGTATACGCTGAAAAGGCCACCTGGGGACCTGGAAATTCCGTCTACATTGGGAAGACATCAGCAGCCGGTTTGCAGATGAACTCCCAGCATCTGCTCTGTGTTAGGGCTCACTGGCCTCCTCCTCCTGATACCCCAGGTCAACCTCATCCGTCCCTGTGCCCAGCACTTCCTTCTGCCCTGAAGCCATCTGTTCTGATCAGTCTCCATTTGTTCTGCTTCAGAAGACACAAGTAGTTACTTGCCACTTGTCACTCTGTGCATCCCCTGCATTCATAACCAGAGGAGCACAAAGGACACTGCATTCCTGGACTCAAGCAGAAAGCCAAAGCCAAGAGTACTCTCAGGCGTAAAACCTTCACTCCCACCTGAAGTCAGACGTCTCAGTGACGCCCACTGAGCACAGGCAGGGAACATGTGGCAAAGTCATCAGCAAGTGAACAGAAGATCAGAAGCCAAGAAAACCACCTCTGTACCTGGCCAGTCTCTGCAGGCTGCTGCTGCACTATAACCAGAACTTGTATCTCTGACCTTTTGGAATGGAAAAAAAACATAATTTTTTCCCTTTACCGCTAAGGAAATCTAGTGATTTACATTTGCAGTTTTGCTGCAAGAAATACTAAAATGTTCTTGTTGTTCTGACCCAGCACCAGGAGGGAGAGGCTGCTTTGCACTGGTCAAGAAAGTATGAGTCCAGGGATTCGTCTTAACTCTGACACTTATTAGGTAAACAACCTGTTGCAGTTACTTATCAGCTCCTTCACGTGTGAAATCAGGGATGTGACTAAATCAATGTGATAAAACCTGGATTTCAAAAACCTAAAAAGCTTATCTCTGTATGTGTTCTCAGGACTATTACTGAGATAGGTGAGTACAACTCTCCCACAGAAAACAGTGAACAGCCTCCCCAAAAATACTTGGAATAAGAACCCTTTCTTTCCTCCTTCAAAAGAGCAGATATTTACATCTCTCAGAACTAGCATGCCACAGGCAGTTTGGGAACATCAAACCAGACTGCTTTTCAGGTTGCTTCTGACTGCCATTTAAAAAAAATGTATAATATAGCCCTCATAAGACTTTTCACCTCTTAAGGTAAAAAGGAAGTTTTGTGATTTTCTTTGGCCTAAGCAGGACTTTGAAAACTATAATGTTTTTCATGTATTTAATGAGCTTTTATTTACATGTAACTTTTTTCAACAATACGGTATTAAGGAAATTCTTTTTTAGTTTTGTAATCCCATCAAAATGTTAAGTTCCATAAGGACAGGTATTTTTGTCTATTTTTTTGCCACTGGCACATCCCCAGCACCTAGGCTGTGGCACTCAAATGTCAGTGAAGAAGAAGTCATAGTACCACACCACAACTGAACAAGATTTATACCCAAGACTAGCATCAAGAATGCTACTTACTCAAAAACTTCTAACGGTACAGTAATATCATGAAGCTGCTGTCTGCACTTATCAATATCCTGTAGACCAGTAACGATAAAATTCCTGGGGGAAAGGCAAAAACACAATCGTCCGGTTAATTTCACTTAATAAGCCCCACCCACAGAGCTACCACCCACAGAGCTACCCAGCCAACTGGGGCTCCACACATGCTCTCCTCACACTCATGCGGGTTACACATGGCCCCGACCTCTTTGGATAGCTACAGGATTCCTAGGACACCTTTAGAGTTACAAAATATTCTTAACTGTTTGTTACTTCCCTTCTAAACTAGAAATTGCCAGTAAGGGGGATTGAGAGGGAACCTGATTATGAACCTTCTCTCAAAAACAATGACCTGACTGTGCATATGACCGTGTGTGCGGTATCAGTGAACACATAGGGCAGCGGACTATACTCAAAGCCTGAGCGGAAGCTAGCCATCCTGCCTGGTTTAGCTTCCTCTCCTCTCTGGGCCCTTCTTACACCAGCCCGCTGGCCTGGCTATTCATTCCCACAACACTGGGTATGGAACCTCGGCTGCAATATTTTGCATGTCCGTGCCCCATATCAAGCCCTTCTCAAAAATGCTGTACTTTCATTTGCCTTTTCTCCACCCCAGGGCCTAGCGCCATGACCAGCACAAGGCTGTTGACAAAATATAATCATAATTAATAAACGTTCTGTAACCTTCCTCACCACCACCTCCCCCCAGTTCCTCCACTGCCAGGCCTCTGCAGCAGGTGGCTTCGGAGTGTCACCTTCTGAGGCGTTGTTTAGGGCGCGCACTCACTGTGGAGCCTGCCTCCCCTCAGGGGACAGGGACTGAACTCCCAGAAGGGCTCCAGGAGGAAAGGCTGGGAGGGGTCACACATGAGAGGGGAGACGCTAGCACAGAAAGCATCATTCCCCTGATAAGGAAACGGAAAGTACATCATCGGCCATGATTATGTCTCCAAACGGGCCCCAAAGAGGTTCCTCTAACCAAGTTGGGAAGAAGACGGTTGGCAACAGGCGGCAGCGCGGGTCCCGCCCTCTGAGCACAGCCAGGAAAGACGCCCCGGGCTCCGAGACCAGACCAGAGGGCTGGTGGGGCAGGAGCAGGGTTCAGGCTCGGCTCTGCCTCCCTCGATCCCCGCTCCCCCTGGGGAGACGCCGGTAACCTCGGGCCGCCACTCACAGCTTCTGGTTGAGTCCGGCCTGGCTGCTGGGCTGGAAGTCACTGACGATGATGCCCAGCTGCCGAATGTTCTCCACGAACTTCTCCAGGTGCTCCTCTAGGTGGTCAAACTTCTCCGCCATCGCCTCGGCGCGACCCTCGCCCGCACAGCCTCATCCAGCAACGCTGCAGGCGTGGCCCTACGCTCCCGCTTCCTGCTTCCGTACGGACAGATACCACTTCCGTTTCCTCTTGAGGCGCGCACGCGAGCTGTTGGGGCGGAGCCTGGTTCTCGGAACGGGCTCGTTGGGGGCGGGGCCTAAGGGCGGGGAGAGGAGGAGCCTAAGGGCGGGGCCGGGCGGGGCCGGGCGGGGCCGGGCGGGCTCTCGGGGATGCGGTCTGGACACCGAGGAGGCTTCCGCGCGCAGCGGGGCGAGCGCTTACACTCACATCAGACCTGCCTCGGTCATGGGAGAAGTTGAAGACTTCGTGCAGTGGAGCATCTGCAAGCAACACACACTTGGATGAAAATCCTAAAGTTTGTATGAAGGACCAATAGCGGTAGTCGCCCTGACCCTCTATCAGAACACTAGGGATCAGCGCGGGCCTCCCTCCTTTCCTCTTACATGTAATCGGCGCCACCTCCCCTAGCTCTTGCCGCTAACCCGGCTTCCCAGACCCCTGCTGCCTTCCTAGGTAAGGCCCTCACCTCCTCAGGCCAATTCTGACCAAAGAGCGCCCTATGGGGTTGCCCTGTCGCTGAAAATAACCTCCCCTCCTTCACTGAGCTTTTAGTAAACTGCCGTTTATCCATTGAAATTCAGTTCTGATCATCTCACTCTTACGCTTAAGAAACTTTGCTGCCTGATTTCCTGTGATAGCTGACATCTCCCCCAGCCTGTTTAAATTACTCAAGTGATTTCTTCTTTCACTGAATGTATTTGTGGCCTGTACTTTTCAGTGCAAAGTGAAGGAACTCCTTTGCTAGATAATCTCCAAAGCCTCTCCCAGCTGTGACCAGAAATGGAGACCAAGAGAAGGTAAGTGACTTGCCAAAAGTATGGAATCAGGGAACTCCAGCTGGTATAGTAGGCTGGGCTGATACACGAAAATATTACATAAAATACTTCTCTCCTGGTTTAAAACAATTAACTTTAGGGAATTATAAAACAAAGTGGAGTCTGGGCGCCGTGGCTTACACCTGTAATCCCAGCACTTTGGGAGGCCAAAGCTGGTGGATCACCTGAGGTAAGGAATTTGAGACCAGCCTAACCAGTATGGTGAAACCCCGCCTCCATCTCTACTAAAAATTCAAAAATTAGTCGGACGTGGCAGCACGCCCCTGTAGTCTCAGCTACATAGGAGGCTAAGACAGGAGAATTGCTTCAACCTGGGAGACAGAGGTTACAATAACCTGAGATTGTACCGTTGCATTCCAGCCTGGGCAACAGAGCGAGGAGACTCTGTCTCAAAAAAAACAAGGTGGAAATAAAAAATGTTTAAAGTTATTGGGGAGGGGTAGAGAAATGGAGTGAACGGCCTTACTCAATTTTAATAAGTAAGAGATAGATAATTGATGGAACTTAGGCTTTGGTAAGCATGTATTTTTAAAATTTAAGGGTATCTCTTTGCTAGTATATATAATTCTCAAACTAGTAGAGAGGCGGAAGGGAGTAAAGAAATCACAGTCAACCCAAGAGAAGGCAAGAAAAGGAGGGGATAAAGAAGCAAAGAACAAGTATGGAAAATGAAACGCACAAAATACAATGCAGAAATTAAAGGAACACAACTCAATAGCAAAAAACAAAAGAACAATTTTTAAATGGGCAAAGGACCTGAACAGATACCATTCGAAAGAAGATATAATAATGACCAGCATAAATGCTCAGCATCACATATCATCAGGGAAATACAAATGGAAAGTGCAATGAGACATCACCTTACACTGTTAGAAGGGCTCTAACCAAAAAAAACAAAGAGAATGAATGCTGGTGAGAATGTGGAGAAAAGGAAACCCTTGTCCACTGTTGGTGGGAATGTAAATTAGTACGGCCCTAAAGGAAGATAGTATGGAGGTTTCCCAAAACTCTAACAATGGAATTGCCATATGATCCAGCAATCCTGCTTCTGAGTGTATACTGTGAACCCCAAGTATCTGAGACGGGTCTTAGTTAATTTAAAAGTTTATTTTGCCAGGGTTGAGGATGCACACTCATGACCCAGCCTCAGGAGGTCCTAACCACATGGGCCCAAGGTGGTCAGGGCACACAGCTTTGTTTTATACAGTTTGGGGAAACATGAGACATCAATCAATATATGTAAGGTGAACATCCAGAAAGGCGGGACAACTCAAAGCTGGGACGTGCCTTCCAGGTCACTGGTAGGTAAGAGACAAATGGTTATATTCTTTTCGTTTCTGATTTGAATTTCCAAAGGAGGCAATTACATATGTATCTATCTAAGTGAGCAGGGGAATGATTGGATAGAATGGGAGGCAGGTTGGCCCTAAGCATATTCCAGCATGACTTTTCCCTTTAGCTTAGTGATTTGGGGGCCCCACATTTTATTTTTCTTTCACGATACCCAAAGGAATTAAAATCACTATGTCAAAGAGATATCTGTGTTTCTAGAAAGAGGTTCCAATCCAGACCCCAGGAGAAGGTACTTGAATCTCACACAAGAAAGAATTCAGGGTGAATCCATATGTAAAGTAAAAGCAAGTATATTCGTAAAATAATGAAATAAAGAATGGCTACTCCATAGGCAGAGCGCCCCAAGGGCTACTGGTTGCACACTTTTATGGTTATTTCTTGATTGTATGCTAAACAAGTGAGAGATTATTTATGCCTCCCCTTTTTAGACTGTGCGGGGTCACTTCCTGACAGGCCACGGTGTTTGCAAACTCGTGGCGCTGGTGGGAGTATAGCAGTGAGAACATTGCCATCTTGGTTTTGGTGGGTTTTAGCTGGCTTCTTTACTGCAAACTGTTTTATCAGCAGTTTGACCTGCTGATAAAGGTCAAAAAAGGTCTTTATGACCTGTATTTGGTGCCGACCGCCTATCATCCTGTGACTTGGAATGCCTAACCGTGTGGGAATGCAGCCCAGTAGGTCTCAGCCTTATTTTACCCCGCTCCTATTAAAGATGGAGTTGCTCTCATTCAAATTCCTCTGACATCTGTACTCTATAAAAATAGACAATTATTATTTGTCAATTAAAAATAAAATTAGACCGGACACAGTGGCTCATGCCTATCATCCCAGCACTTTGGGAGGCTGAGACAGGTAGATCACGAGGTCAAGAGATTGAGCCCATCCTGGTCAACATAGTGAAACCCCGTCTCTACTAAAAATACAAAAATTAGCTGTGCATGGTGGCGCGTGCCTGCAGTTCCAGCTATTCGGGACACTGAGGCAGGAGAATCGCTTGAACCCGGGAAGCAGAGGTTGCGGTGAGCCGAGATCCTGCTGCTGCTCTCCAGCCTGGAGACAGAGCAAGACTCCGTCTCAAAAAAAAAATTTAAACTTAATTAAATAGTAAAATTAAATAAAAGTGTATTATGAACTGCATTTCCTGTCATTAAATATGTGTCTTTCCCACTAAAATCATTCGTTAGTGAACACAATAAATGTTAACAGATTTGTAACTTTGTTCAAAGGATAGACTCTCAGATTAGAATCAAACTGGAAGTGTTTTGTTTTGTTCTTTTAATCTAGCTATGTTACATTTCAAAGGCATGCCTAAAACCAACTTACAGACGTGGAAAATAAAGAGGTGGGATAGAATAGTATATGGCAGGCAACAGAAAGAAAGTTGTTAATGCATATAAAAATTAATGAGGAAACATAAAAAGATGCTTTTAATGATAAAGAGAAGACTCATTAAGGATGCAATACTATTAACCTTTAAGCAACTGACATCATAATCCCATAATATCTAGCACAAAAATTGACAAAATATGAGGAAAAATTCCAAACCCATAATTATTACAAGGGCTTTGGACTACCTCTATCAGAAGACAATAAATCAAGTAGGCCAAAAAGCATATGCAGAATATGGAAGATGTAAGTAATATGGTTAAGAACTGTGATCTCTGAAAATCAGTGAACCCTGAAGAAGAGATTGTTTCCAAGCACATTTGAAATGCTTGACCATTCACTAGAGACCACACAGAAAGTTTCAGCAAACTCAGATTCTGTCACACAGACCAGAGTTTCTGACCTCAATCTAATTACAGTAGAAATCTACAAATTTATTCATTTTCTACACATACATACACATTTGAAAATCAAAACACACTGTCTAAATAATTCATGGGTGTACATACATCTGAGCATGGGCAAGACCCAAATACGTCTGTTTTCCTCATGTGACCATTACTAGCACTCTTCCACTCACTGCCAAACTTGTCCCAGTTTGGTTGATACATTATGTGGACATTCTATTTAAAGGAAAATTATAAAGCATTTGGAATTAAATGACAAGAATTCCTTGTCAAACTTCTGCTTTGCTCCTAAAGTAATAATTTGAGGGAAAATAGCCTGGAAATAATAAACTATGGTTTCAACTCAAAGAATAGGAATAAAAAGAATGAAAGGGGAATCACAGGCACCAAAACACATTAAAGGAGTGACAGAAGTAAGGACAGACACTGGTGAAAATGAAAACTATTGCGTTAGTTTTCTGTCTAGCTGCTTTAGAAGCTGGAAAGATAAAAATGAAGAAAAGTTGATTGTTGAAAAGATAAGTCAAATAGATATACCTCTGGCAAGTCTCATCAGGGAAGAAGAAAGGAGCTAGACGGGAAAAATATACAGTATTATAAAGGAGTGAGGGTGAAACTTGTATGTTTGTAATTTTGAAAGCTTGGAAGATAAAAACAATTTTCTAGGAAACTACCAAAATTTAACTTAAGAAAAATAAAAAATTAGAATAGTTCTTAGCCTTTCAATAAACTGGCCAATAGGCAAAAATCTCTTTCAAAGATAGAAAAGACGTAAGCTCTGACAGTATTTTACACTAACTGTTTAAAAATCAACATTAAAGAACAAATAATTTCAAACTTACCCAGATACTTTCAGAGACTAGAAAAAGAAGAAATACATCCCAGCTCATTTTGAAAGAGTAGTATAACTTTTATATGAAAATCATCAAGGACAATCCGAGAAAATATAGGTCAATCTTCTTTGTGAAAGTAGATACCAAGGACTTAGGTGTTATCAGAATTGGATCAATTGTCATGCATCAGGTATCTATTGCTGCCTAAC